TAGGACAGCAAGAAAACGCTTGTCTGGTGCTTTATGTACAACGCAGTGCTGACGCTGACGGCCTTATCCTCTGAATTCTGCCTAGCTTTGTCACTTTCAAGCGCGATACGAAAGGTGGGAAATTCATTGTGTCGCGCGGTGTAACGCATATGATGTTCCCAGTGTTGCAATGTGGTCTACTTCTGAAGAAAAAAAAGACACTGAAGCATTGGAACCGCACATGCTTTTGCGAGAATTGGGTACTCGAACTCGAAAAGTTCTCGAACCTCAAGACACATTGTAGGATTCCCTGATATGTGGATCCCTTCTGTATAGACAGGTCCCCAGCCGCAGAAAGGTATCACTTTCGCCACTTGAAAGTGCGTGGCAAGGAAGCTAATGACGCCAGGACAGCTTGATGCTTGTGATGTCTCCGCCTACCATTCAATACGCCATATGGCCACGCCATACGTGTTGCTTGATCGGGCTCTTACTTAGATGATTACTGCTCGATTTTATTGCTATCCTACAGGTCCTTAAGAGGTGACTTCAGATATAGACTCGCGGGAAAGCCCATATACTAACTCAGTGGAGGGCACAGTCAATTGGCACGTATGCCGTGACGATATGGCGTGTCGAATGGTGGGCGGAGACGTCAAAAACACTTGTCGTGCTATTAGCTTCCTTGTCTCACATACTCAAGCGGCGAAAGTGGTACTCTTCTCCGGTTTGCGGACTTGTGCTCGTACACGTAAGAGATCCATTTTTTTCGAGCAGTCGCCTGAGGCAGCGTTCGGGTAGTCTGAACGCTACCTAATATTTCTTCAAAGGAAACGGTGGGTCAGTCACAGCGCAGTTTCCAACTTTTAATAAATTATTACGAACTTCAGTCTAAGGTGTTAGTTCCAATGCGATCCCACGGCATTAAACCGGTTACGCTTTATTTCTCAAGCAATTGTATGTTGTGAATTTACGAAAGCCTTCGATATTTTTTGTCCAAGGTTTACTGTATGTATATGTACTGACGAGTTGAATCAACTTTGCACGGGTTTTTGCACGGGTCCACAAGTTCTCCATAGTGTTGTTTTATTCGTAATAAATAAATATATAAATATCTTTCCCAACAGACACCATAAAATCAACAACATCAATATCACAATTTGAAATTGAAAGGAGACAGAGCGACAGAAAATGAGTTCCACACTAACGCATTATCAAGCTTCCACGCAACAGTTGAACTGACCGAAATAAAGCATCAGCGTGATCTTCTATAGGCCCTTTAGCTGAGACATAAGAGCAGCCAGATCCTGTTTGGACGTTTCTGACGGTTCTTCTGATTGCGGGCTAAATCAACCAATAACAGAAGCAATGTTGGACGAAGAATTTCAGCCGTTCTTATTCTAATAAATATTGAATACTTCGGTTCTATTAGCAATACGACAGTCCTTGCAGTAACAACCTCTATCTCGCAATTTGCGCTTTCTTTGGCAAGCTCATACCATATTCATGTCGCATTCCCAACCGTTGTATCTTTTCCTCAACTTTCGACTCGTCAACGAGTTCTGAAATGAAATCGCATGAATTCACAGTGGTATTGAGACTATGTGCTAGGGCTTGGATAAAGGCACGTTACGCCATCAAAGCTTATCGGAAGGGGCTCAGACGCTAATCCAAAATGGAATGCAACTCAACAATGATGAAAAAAGCAGAAAAAACGTCTCCGATGACGCCCTCGATAGGACCACCTCCCATCGAATTTCTACGAACATATTCTCTTCAACTCTTGTTCCTTTACCATTTTACTCTAACAAGGGAGAGTGTTTCAGGTCATGGGCCGCGCGCTTTTTGAAATGATTTGTTGCTTGTTGTAGGTTCCATAATCAAGGTTCACGATAAAATCGGGTCTTCATTTTTGCTATGCCCGCGGTAGTCCACAATTTGAGTGAAAAAGAATTTGAGGAAATGGCGGTTTTTAACAACGCGTTAATGGCTCGGTCCTGCTTGATAATTCGAGGCATGCTTGTGCTTTATGATGGTTCTTAATTAGGACTACGAAAATAACTTGAATGAAGCAAAATGTAAGAATCCATTAAGTGACAACTCTGCCATGCACTCAGCGCAAGCGACGCCTGTGTTCGTGAGGGGGCGGCCTTTCACGAAGGCACTGCCAACGGGTCGGATGTCGTAGCGGATAGCACGATGGATTCTGGATGACACGACAATGCGGGACTCGGTTCGGATCCTCATTGCGGCAACAGTTTTGCATCTGTATCAACGCAACGAGACGAGAACATTTCCGGAAACAAGGTTCTCCACACAAGTGTGCTGGTTTGTAAGGTGTCGTCCAGGAAAGGCCAACAAGTCAACCTGGACATTTGCAATGACTGCATATCATTGTACTCGTCTTGACACAGTGAACTCGAAACTACCCTCAAAATTTGCGGAACGATTCTCTGACGAAGAGTTTATGGAGGATTTCCTCAGCTGGTAATTTCTTCCTGTGGGCTGGCGCGGCGCAGTGAATTTTGCACCGTATGTATCACCGCGACTCACAAGCTCGTCTTCGCGTGCGAAATAATATCATAGCTTTCGTGTTAGGGTCAAACAAAGCTGCCTAGAAACGCCACCTTGAGGAAATCCGAGGTTCTGACTCAACTTCGAAAAAACGGGGTAGAGATGGTCACGCCTGGATGATAGCCAATACTCCGACTAGAATACTGGTGATAACTGGTCTTTGCACTGAAATAACCCTTCAGTCATGTCTTTTCGCAAAGAACAATACCTGGCCTCACTTGTTCGTGCCGCCTGCATCATTTTCGTGAATTACCGAGTAGGGAATCCCATCACCAGGACCAGTCATCCATGTGTGGACGCCAGCCTGCTGCTAATTGTCCTTAGATGATGGCCGCCACCATTTTTCCAAGTTAAGGTCGAAACGTCAGATTTGGCTAGAAATTAGTCCCCAGGGGTAATCCAACCCGCTGAACATAAATGTGATGGTATTTCATTGCAATAACTCTTCTGACATGAGCTACGAGAGACAAGCACACTAACAGGTCACAGTGTGGCCACAAGTATATGCCTTCAAATGGCATATACTCGACTTATTTCCATTGCCGAGACACACAGGCACGCGAATGAATGGAAAGCTGAAAAGCAAAAACGTTGCAGCGAGGAGGATCCGATCCACAAAGTCCCCCCTTGCCGTGCCATCCAGAACCCGTCGTGTTATCCACTGCACCATCCGACCCGTTGGCAGTGCTCGTGAAAGGCCCGCTCACAAAACAGCGCCCTTGCGCTGGTGCATGGCAAGAGTGTCACTACATGATTCTTACATTTTGCTTCATTCAAATCTATTTTCGAGTCCTAATTAACGAACACACCATAAACAAAGCATGCTCGAAGTTACAAGCAGAACGGAGCCCATTAACGTTGTTAAAACCGCCCATTCCTGCCAAAATTCTTTCCACTCAGTTTTTGACCTACCCAGAAACGCATAGCAAAAATGAAACCCATTTTTGTGACCCTTGTATGGAACCCTACAACAAGCAACAAACCATTTCCAAAAAGCGCGGCATGACCTGAAACACCTCCCTTTGTAACGGCTGTTCAATACGTTGTATGACGTTTTGAGCTAAGACCAGCGTTCCAGTTTTCGCGAGCAGTTCTGACTTCTGCGGGCAGCGAAAATACCCGGCATACGCTCAATCTAGATTTATACCTCCCTCTACTAGTCGCTGAAAACTCTGACGCAAGGTATAAACGCACCTCACCACTCGAAAGTGCTACAAGCGGAATGGAGGCACCATCATGTAATAGTTATAGACGAACGTTGGGTGTGGTGCGCGGCATTGCCTTGTCTTCGTCATAAGGCTAACGCCCTTATCATGAAAATCTGGGCCGGGAAAGCAGTGCATTCTCTATGGTCGCGGAAAGGACTTCTTGTCCACAGAAGGTGTCAGCTCATCAGGTGAACGCCGGACGGGCCTTAAAAACGGAACAACTTGTAAATCTTTTTTTCGTATCTAAAACAGCGTTTCAGACACCTATCTACATAGAGAGATGTATGTCGTATGGCGCTATCAACTGTTTTCGCCATGTCACGATACGACATGTAAAACGCCTTTCAGCAGGACGATTCGTCTGAATCAACAAAATACCAATTTTTCTGCTTGGTCATATGGCACAATCACATTTTTTTCTGCTTTGAGGAGCATGAGCATGAGCATTTAGGCCTACCTTAGCGGTCCTATCGACAGTAAATTACGAAAATTTAACAGCTCAGAGAACAGAACGAGATGCCCAGCTTGGAAGATGCTATGAGCTGCCATGACATATCAGTAGCAATGTAACTGCGCCATATGACCGCCTCCCCTACCGATACAGAGCCACTGTGTAATGTGCCATTAGGATTTTCATTTTAATCAAGTTAAGCCATAAAGTCAAGACATATAAATTATGACACACATACCGATTCCCCAAGAATTATCCTCGTGAACAATCTCCTCCTCTTGGGTAGCAGGTATCTCGACAGCGGCTTCGGATGCCTTTTTTGCCTGAAAGCATTCGACATCAGTTACAACAAACCACACGCCCAGACTAGATTAAGTTGAGTAATCATCAAAATCAGAGCAAATTTAGCGTACAGTGAGATCACACGCGACTTCGGTGTAGAGAGCCTGAACTAGCCACTTCTCCCTAGTCACTAGTCACTTCCTTTGCTGCACCAAAAACCTACTTAAATTGAGCCAAACTAACAGATCCGCCACAATTGTAGAATGTTCCAATTTCAGTGAACAAAAAGAACTCGCACAGGGACAGATGTTTGGCTTTCTTCAAAAAAATCGAAAGAAAAACAAGAAAGGGCTTAGACTGCCTAAGAATTGTCAACTCTTGGCACCTTGTCAAGCCCTGTTTTTGTGGAGGTCTGTGACCTCTTCTTTAGTTATTATACAAAATGGTGAGATCTCCAGATCCATGCCATTTCTTGTTCTTTCCATATATTCAAAACAGGAAGTTAGGC